TCCAGAGGAGAAAAGAAAAAACCACACCCCGTCTAACTCATCATACCTTTGAAATAAGGGGAGGTGATTAATGGCCAGATTCCGGAAAATTGTAATGCTGGCCCTGTTGTGAAGGAACAACTGTATGGTAACATAGAGTAGCTTGGAAAATAGGTCAGAATCCTTTAGCTAATGCAGGGTTATATTACAGTACTCACCTAGTCTGACTGATCAGATTCAGTATCCAGCCCTGTTGCGGACAATCCAAAGTTTAAGTCTCAGTTTTCCTACCTTGTACAGCTCATGATGTTTATGATGTTTCTAGAACAAGGCTGGAATTGAACAAGCACAAGCAGCCTAAGGGAATTAAGCTCCTTTGAAGATCCCAGCTCTAAATATTAAGTGGAATCCCTTAGACACCTGCTTTACGTAGATGTTCTAGTTTAGCTAATCATAGTTAAGGCTAAGATTTTGTCATGGTTATTTTTAGTACAAGTCACAGACAGATCATGGGCAATAAACAAAAATTCATGGAAGCTGTGACCTGTCTGTGACTTTTGCAGCTGAGTTCCATGGTTTCTCCTGCCACTATGGTGGCTGGGAGCTGTGGAGTCCCCCCACGCGTGCGAGGCTATCGTCTGTCGCTGGAACCCTGAGGAGGGCCCCCTGGGGAGGCTGTTGCCTGTTGCTGGAATCCTGCAGGGGGACCTTGCGGAAGCTGTCGCCCCTCGCTGGAACCCTGCGCGGGTCCCACAGGGCTCCAGGAGCTGAAGCAGAAAATGTCAGGGAGGTCTCTGGAAGTCATGGATTCCGTGACTTCCGTGACCTCGGTGACATAAATGTACCTTTAATCATAGTAACTACCATAGATGCTGCCAACCATCAGCTAACCTCAATCACATAACTTTTTCTTGCTACAAATTACAAAAGTATTGGAGCAAACAATGGAAATCTATTTTCACAGTTCTGAATTCAAAGATGTGTCCCTGTATGTGTGTGTGTGTGTGTGTGTGTATATATACACACACACACACACACACACGTAATTACATTTGTAACTAATATACGCTGATCTTATGATCCTCCAGCAAAGAGTCTTTCCTATATCAGAGAGAGAAACAGAAATACAAAGCAATAGATTTGTAATATTTGCATTGCTTTGTTCTGAAACCAGGAATAATGACTGTTGTGTTAACTGAAATCTTTTGCTAGTTGCATTGGTTTTTGTTTGGCTTTGTATTTTTCTTTAAAAATCAACAAAGAAAATACAGAACTGCTTGGGTAAAGCTGGAAATGTTCCTGTGAGGGTGAGTGCTCCAATGTGTCCCACATTTAGGGGCACTCCAGGCACGCTAGCTGGAGCTGTCATTTTGGGCTCTTCATTGACTGCTTTTGTCACCTGAAGCTGTTGAAAGTGCAGTGTGACTGTTAAAAAGGCTATTTTGAACTTTTAAAGCAGGAGCTAGGGTGGAAGGAACAGATTTAATGAGAATCGGAAGATAATGTGGTTAATCATTTCTGATGACTGCATTCCTAATAACTCAGAATGAGGTTTAATAATTTATTTGCAGGGGATTGAGTGAACAATAGCTGATGATGAGGTAAAGGTCAAGATGTAGAATTTCCCCCAAATAGATAAATAAAGTTTTGATAAAAAACATTCAGATTTGCCCAGAAGCCAGCCTTCTCAGCAATGAGTTCCAGTTGCTGGTGGTGTGGCTAAAATCTCTCTTTGAGGGGAAAAAGCCTGCCTACTTCTCTTTTTAAAAGACATTAACATTGTTCTCTCTTTTAGAGACTGCTCCTTTCCCATTAAAGGCAGTGGCAACTGACTTCAATGGAAACATGATCAGGCCTATTGGCCAAATCCTGAGAGGTACTGGGCATCCACAGTTCCCATTGACATCAGTGAGCGTTGTAGATGATCTGAGTATCTCAGAACTTAGCATGTAATGTCATTGCTGAGCTGTTATTCTCAGATGTTTTCACAGGTCCGAAGGAAGATAAAAGCTTAATTCCCACTCTGGGGCCCTGATGGGAAAGCACAGGGGAAGTCCAGGATTGAATGTACGTGGGGACAATGAATCCCTTTTCTTTAAGAACATAACATAAGAATGGCCATACTGGGCAGACCAAAGGTCCATCTAGCCCAGTATCCTGTCTTCTGACAGTGGCCAATGCCAGGTGCCCCAGAAGGAATGACCAGAACAGGTAATCCTCAAGTGATCCATCCCCTGTCGCCCATTCCCAGCTTCTGGCAATCAGAGGCTAGGGGCACCATCCCTGCTCATCTTGGCTAATAGCCATTGATGGACCTATCCTCCATTAACTTATCTAGCTCTTTTTTGAACCCTGTTATAATCTTGGCCACATGAAGGAGCTTTCATCTTTATAATTAGCCTGCTCTTCCTCTTTGACTCATTCACTGATGCCACTAGTGTTTTGTTATATCATAAATCATTACTATGGAAACACTTATGATGTCACAAAGAGGTTAAGTTTCTTGATGGCAAGACTGATTGGAAAAATGTGAGGAAATCCAGGATTGAACAAATGCAGAAATTCTCTGTAGTTCTGAGAGCTGTTCCTTCACACAAAGACTGGAAGAAAACATGAGATCACGATGAAGAAATTAGGAGAAAATAGGGATGGGGAAAGAAGTTATGGAATTCTCTGTTCAGTTTTGTTGCATGCATGGCATATCTTGCCTATAAAATGTGGCAGGAAGAATTATCTAGTGATTAAAGCACAGGACTGGCAGTCTGGAGCTGTAGATTGTATTCCTGGCTTTGACATATCCTCACTAATATAAGCCTCATTTTCAGTAGCTAATTTCTATATTAAAACCCCCCCTCCTATCCACATGAGTTTCAAAAAAGAAGATTGAAGTTAAGTTAAGATTGAAGATGGAAGATTGAGTTATTTTTTGTTGTGACACTGCGGAGCTCACTGCAGTGATTAGGGATTTTTGCCTCCCCTACCTTTCAGACCCCCAGGACCCTACAACCTTTCTTTCAGTGGCAGACACTGAGTATCTCTCCCTGTTACAATAGATATGTAAACTTACTCCAACTAACTGTACAGTGGATGAGGAAAGTATGTTAATCACAGGAACTCTATATATGCGTTGTAAAGCCCTTTGGGATCCTTTAACATGAACGGTCTATATTAGATATGAGAGGTGATTATTATATTTAATTATCAAAGGGCAGTAGCTACTGGTCAGTACTCAGACCCCCTCCCTTATACACTGTTCTTTCTTTATTTCCTCTTTTTACAGTTTCTTTTCTCTCTGTGTCTCTCCTAGATCTTGAACAAATAGGAGTGGGGAAAAACACTTCACTGACCGTCCTTTTTTCATTTCTAATCACTGCAGCTCATGTGTACTCAGGGCCTGCTCTAGCTTTTTTGCCGCCCCAAGCAAAAAAAAAAAACAAAAGAAAAAGGGCGGCTGGACTGCTGAAGCGCAAAACCCCCCCAAAAAACAGCAGCAGCAGGGAGCGTGTGGAGGGCGGTCAAGGTGGCTTGCAGTGGGGTGAAGGGCGGCGCCCGCCTGCTCCCTCCCTCCGCCCATGGGCAGCCAGGCGCTGCAGCCTGCTCGCAGCCAGGTGAGAGGGGCTCCCCCCTCTGGCCTTGGGGTGTCTCTCCCAGGGGCTGCAGGAGGTGCTGGCTCAGCCGCTCCTTTAAAGGCGGCTCGGCTGGGCCGGGTTTAGAGCGGCATGGGAGACGGAGGCTGGTGCAGGCAGCGGGGAGTGGCGTGTCCTGGGGAGCCCAGTGGCACGGTGAGCAGCAGGGATTGCTAGTTCCTGCCCACCCGAGCTGGGGTCCGTGCCCCTGCAGGACTGGGCTGGGACTGGCAGAGCTGCGGACCGGGCTGCCAAAGCGCAAAAAAAACAAAAAAAATGGCAGGGCGGCCGAAATGTGCCGCCCCAAGATTGGCCGGAATGCCACCCCTTACAATGTGCTGCCCCAGGAACGTGCTTTTTCATCTGGTGCCTGGAGCTGGCCCTATGTGTACCCTCTGCTTGCAATATCCAAGCCAGTCTTTTCCCCCTCTTATTCAAGCATCTGACCCCTAATACTTCAGTTCCTGACCTTGTAAATCATGGTTTGCTGTGTTATGCTGCCTCCAAAACTCTCAGTACAGGGAAATGATGTTCACAGCTTCTCTCTCCATCTTCTCCCATTGTCTCTTTGAGTTGTTTGATGAAGAATGAGACTTTTTAGGTATGATCTCCCTCCTGTGAATCGCTGTTGTCTATTTTTAATACAGCGCTAACTTCTTTCTCTTTCTTTGGCATCTCTCCAATCAGCAGTTGCTCTCTCTGTGGGATCAATATAAAATGTTTACAGGTCTTAGATATCAACATTCCTCATTTGCAAATCCATGATCAGCTGTCACTCGCATGTACTACAGATGCCCTTGGGTGCAGTGCTATACCTATGATAGCAGCTGCCAGAATCTAATTCAGTTAACCTATTGCCCCCTTGATGAAAGCAAACCAAGTGTAAAAAGGGTGTTTCCCACTGGAGACACAAGCCGGCCTTAATGGCTTTTGGATCTTAAGTCCAAAGAGCTGTATCTGATTTTCCTGGCGGTATCAGCCACTTGTCCTTGGAGCAGGTTAGACATATCACATCAGTCTTTTGCCCTAGCTGCCAGGGCCATACATCACCCATGTGTTAGTTGAACAAGTTCTCCAAAGAGTCATAATTCTGTATGGGTGGAGGCCACGTGCTCACCTCCAGAGGAGGAGGGAGTATTACCATTCACCAGTTTCCCCTCTGGCTGAGTTAATATGAAACGTCCTGTTATGTCCTCCTTGCTTGTAGGGATGATGGCTGCAATGTTGGGTTTTAAGAGGAGAAAATATTGGGGGATCTTCAAGGTTGTCAGGCACTCAGATTCCTAAGTGATGACACACAGGAAGTCTGAAAACACTAAATAAGCACTGGCTTTTAAGATATTTGTCCTGAGCCCAGGATCGATGACCCAAGTCTGTTCTTCTCTCTGTTTCCAGATTGGTGCGTCTCTGTTTGCCAGTAACATTGGCAGTGGGCACTTTGTGGGTTTGGCAGGCACAGGAGCGGCTGCAGGAATTGCCACTGGAGGATTTGAATGGAACGTAAGTGGTACACATTTCAATAAAATTGTAACCTCGGAGGTATCCAAAGAGATCAGGTGAGCCCACATTGTCTAAAAATCCAACTCACTTCAATGTTGTCAGAGCCCTCGCCCAGCAGCACCTGCTTCCCCCAGGGCTGGCGACTGGCAGAACAACCCACCACAAGAACACTTTGTGTTGATTCCCTTCCCCCAGCCTCTCTCACCTCTAGTCCAGCTAGTGGGGAAAGAAAAGTCCGTTGCTATATTAGGAAACCATGATCTCCTCTGCATAATTTTGCTGGGAGATTGGCGTGTAGGAGTTGGGGGGAGTTGTCATCGTTTTTTCTTTCTTCCCAGCAGTGAGGAATTCAATGTTGTCTTCACTCCTTTCTTTATCCCAAGAGCCCCTTTCTCCTTCTCTGTCTTCTCATTCCCCTCCCACTAAGGGACAGCTGCGAAGGAGTTCAGAGGCTACCTTGTAATCCACTATCAGTGCTGTTCTGTTCTCAGCCTGCTGGGGGCAGACCCTGTCTATAACCAAACACCTCACTTGATTAAAATGACTACAACTACTGCCCGGAATTGGCAGAAGGGCCATAAGGGTTTGGAAAAGGGTAAGATAATGTGCCTCCTTTCCCCAATCAGTCTATCTGTAGCTCTCCATGGACTCAGTATGTGCACCAGGAGGAGATGCAGGAGTTGCGCAACACACCCTTTATGCTGTATTTCCCCCTCTTAGATCCGCAGGTCATAAGGTGCAATTTGCATCACATGTTACTACTCCCTGGAGAGGAATTGGGGGCACAGCTCCTTGTAGAGCATTTTGCTGTTTACCTGGTGCTCTGGGATGACCCATCGTGAGGGGGGAACGTGGATGAGCACAATCCTTGGGATCCAGCCCTGTTTTTCCCTTGGATCCTTAGACGCTGGAAGAATTATTGGCCATGCCCCCTGACTGTTGCACTCCATTGCAAGCCCCTCCTTAGGTTTTCTTAAAAATAGAATTGTGTGTTGGGTATAAAATATGGCCCCATATAGTTCTGAACTTCTTTGTGCATGGGGAAGGGAGTAGAAGCTCACTTGAGAGCGATACACACATTGGAATCAGGGCTGGCTCTAGGCACCAGCGCTCCAAGCATGTGCTTGGGGCAGTACTTTCCAAGGGGCGGCACTCCGGCTCTTTTTTTTTTGCTCGGGGCGCAAAAAGCCAGGAGCCAGCCCTGAGCGGAGGTGAGCTGCATCGGTGGGGGGCACGGGGAGGGCCGCAGGAAGTAACCCTGGAGGAGGGTGCAGAGAAACCGCTTCTCCCCCCCCCAGCTCACCTCCGCTGCACTGCCGCCTGCTCCCCCAAGCGCGCCGCCGCTCCATTTTTCCCCCTCTCTCCCAGGCTTGCCGCGTGAATCAGCTGTTTCTTGTGGCTGCTTGGAGACTGGATCGAGGTACTAAGTAAAGGGGGCCGGGGCAGTGCTAGACTTTCTTAAAATTTCCTGGTGGTAGCAATAGTCATCTGTCACCATACAAAGGTTTCTGTGGGCTGCTAGTCTTCTAACCACCATGTTGTCTACACCTGCTCTTGGCAAGGCTAGGTGAAGCAGTGGCTAAAATGCCTGCATCCAGGGTATGCTAATGCTCTGATTGCTACTGCTAGTGGAGCTGCAGTGGGATAGTGCAACAGAAGGAAGTTTTAAGACCAGTGTGAGATACACTACAAATGTATTTCCCCATGGACAGACATGGGGCAAATGCCAAAGCAACCTTATTTTTGATACTCCAGTAAGTCTGCTGCAGTGGGGACTCTTCCTTAGGTGCTTCTGTTGGACACCTGGGGTGAAATTCTAGCACCATTCAACTGAATGGCAAAACTCCCATTGACTTCAGTAAGGCCAAGATTTCACCCCTGGAGTTCCAACTGTAAAATGCTCGACAGGTAGAAAGAATGAGGCTGAGGTGCCTTCACTGGCCACCATTTTACTCACTGCAATGTTTATAGTTGGCATTCAGCCTGATATGTGGCTTTGGAAAATGCTGGTGACAGGACCAGAGGCTAAGTCAGCTGTTATTTCCTTGGTTACAGGCCCTGATATTTGTGGTGATTCTTGGCTGGTTGTTTGTTCCCATCTACATCAAGGCTGGGGTAAGTATGGACACTAGGTTATATCTTTTATGGTTCCCTGTTTCAATCTTTCTGTTTCATTTTGGTGTGTGTGTGTGGGTCTAACACCATCACAAAACCATTGTCAATGGGAAGAGAGACCTGGATGTGTCAGGCAGTCTACATAAGTTATGTCTGTATATATTTAAACAACAAGGTCTCTTTGTCTTTGAGATCCCAAGATGAGCAGCATTTGACTCTGCCTTTCTGTGCTTCTTGGAGGCGCCTGCTCCTTGGCCTTCTTAATTTCTAGTGCACTTATCAGTGTGGTATCTGGGTGGAAGAGCTTGCTGATGAACTATGGTAGTTGTGTCTGTTGCTCGTAGTATGAATTCTTCTCCCTCTTCTTCTGCAGGTGTTGACGATGCCAGAATATCTCAAGAAGCGGTTTGGCGGCCGACGGATTCAGATGTATCTGTCAGTCCTTTCTCTGCTCCTCTATATTTTCACCAAGATCTCGGTGAGTTAAGCTTTTCCAGTTCCTCTATTCTAAGTGAAGTTCCTATCTATTATTATTTTACACTTGTATGAAATCTCTCTACCTGTCTGGTTAACTTGTCTCAGATAAAAAACGGTTTCCATGTTGTCACTCTTCCGTCTAGCAGTGCTGACCATCCAAATCCGCTCTACAGCTCTGTGTGTCTGTGCCTGTTGGATTATACCAGGGGACTCTTTCTCTAGATGGTGGTTATGATTGAGCTTTCTTTTTCCAAGATTTTGTTTCCACATGTGCTCCCCTCTGGAACAGGCCAGGCTGGCTGGAGCCTTGTACTATACAGTATGCTACATCTCAGGCATCAGTGATAGAAACTGAAGAGAAGGTTCCAAGCTATTAGAGTTAGTACCCAGTTCTCTGCCTTCACTCACTCATTTAGGCATTTAGTTTTAGAGCTTCCTATGCATCATCTGGGCCCAGGGTCTCCCATTCTGACTCCTGAACTAGATTCTCCTGCCGCAGGGTATGAGTAACTCCCTTTGGCTCCCGTGGGAGAAAAGAGGCCTTTCCCACTCATCCTTCCATCAGTATCCTCGGCTGAACATGCAGCTTGTTAGTATTAATGAAGCAAAAGTGAGAAACGAGAGAGGAAGGCACATGGGGAGAAGAGAGAGAGATGGGGTTAGAAAATACGGGAGTGGGAAAAGCAAGGGGAGAAAGGGAAGGCAGAGGAGAGTCTTTCTGTGGATCAGCTTGAGCTATGAAGTGTGGCTAACGAGGGCACAGCAGTAGCGAAGGGAGCTGTGATTTTCCTCCCCTTTTGAAACCATTAAATCTCCATCCAAGTCCACAGGTCAGGCAGACCTGGGTCTGTTGTTTTCCTGCAGTTGCCATGGAAGTTTACTCTTTGCCCTCTGCATAGGAGCTGAGTGATAATAGTACAATTTAACCTAAAAGACCTGGCCTTTTGCTCCCATTCGCATGCTCTTACGATAACCGATTCTTATCAGGGTTACAAATTAAACAGGTTGGGACTATCAAGAAACGGCAAGTTGGATTTTGATTTCTGTTTATTTCAGTGAGGAGCTGTCAACATAAGAGTTTTTGTATGCAGCTGTAATTGGAAATGCATCCATTTCACAGGGGGTATTATTCCTGCAACTCTAGCGGATGTGGAGTGAATCCATACAGATAAATGGCTCATCATTCTAATCCAAAACTTATATCTATATTTCTGTGTTCTGTATGATCCCATCACTTGCTACCTACATGCCAGATTCACAAAAATAATTCTCTTTTTATGGGTAAAATCCCTCGGTGTGTGTCCAACTTACGCATCATACTCTGCATTGGGGATTTCCATCAACTCCAGCAGAGGAACCCTCCTCCCAAGCAAATGGAGTGGCTCCACTCACTCGCAGTTATCATTACAGACCTGAAAATGAAGTTGCCTCTCACGTTCTTGCACCCTCGGTTTTCAGGGCAGAGCAGAGCAGTAGCTGGTGGATCTGTACAGCAACAGATCAGTTGGTCCCAGTCTGGCTCCACCACTCAATCATCCCACTTTGCCCACAAACAGAGCTGCACAAGTCCTCATAGGGAGCCACTATGGAACTGTTTTCTGGCACTCAGGGGTATTGTCTCCTGCATAAGTTCCCCAAACCATGCGCCTCCTCCTGATACAGCAGAACCACTCTTCCTCTGTCTGTCTGACTCCTGGGTAATTGTATGGCCTCCGACGTGCATGCATCCGACGAAGTGGGTATTCACCCACGAAAGCTCATGCTCCAATACGTCTGTTAGTCTATAAGGAGCCACAGGACTCGTTGCTGCTTTTACAGATCCAGACTAACACGGCTACCCCTCTGATGTATGGCCTCTATTACTGTAGTGTCTGAGTGCCTCACAACTTTTCACTGTATCGAATGCACCTAATGCTTCTGCTGCATTGTGGCCCTCTGCAGCTGTAGAAAAGGGGGCAGGATTTGTCTTAAAGAACGAACTGAAGGTTTTCAAGTATCAGGGGGTAGCCGTGTTAGTCTGTATCTACAAAAACAACAGAGTCTGGTGGCACCTTAAAGACTAACAGATTTATTTGGGCATAAGCTTTTGTGAGTAAAAACCTCACTTCTTCGGATGCATAGAGTGAAAGCAGGTGAACTGAAGGTTTGATTTACATGTTGTGTTTCATTGGATGTATGCACAGTATTCTGTTTATTAGGACTCAGTCCCCATTCTTATTAGTTATGAAGCACTGTTAGTGTACAATAGTGTGCAAGACACCACCCTCAGCTTGCTGATGAACTAAAGATGTGGCAGATACAATAGAGCACAAAAGAAAACAAACAGAAAGCTGTGATGCTTCATGGAATAGGTGGGTCTTTAGCATCTGCTTGGTGGAAGGGGCGTGAATAGTGCAAATTAATATTGTGTCAAGCGTATGGTGTAACATAAAGTCTAGATTGGGTGAAGGAGACAAATGAGAGAGAGAGAGGGGCAGAATAGGGGTTCTCAAACTGGGGGTCAGGACCCCTCAGGGGGTTGTGAGGTTATTACATGGGGGATCGCAAGCTGTCAGCTTCCACCTCAAACCCCGCTTTGCTATCAGCATTTATTATGGTGTTAAATATATAAAAAAGTGTTTTTAATTTATTAGGGGGGGTTGCACTCAGAGGCTTGCTATGTGAAAGGGTCACCAGTACAAAAGTTTGAGAACTGCTGACCTGGTAAAATGTAGGAGTTGGAGGAAATAAGAGGAGGCAGAGAGCTTTGAAGGTGCAGGATAGCATCTTGATCACTAAAAAGCCAAATCCTGTAGTGCTGTAAATGGCATCTTATTCAGTTATGCCTATGCCCCTGAACTATGTAACTGGGCAAAGCATGGGCATTGAGATGCACCAGCGCAGTCATGTAAAAGTTGAAAGGAAGGTGTAAGTGGGGAGCAGGGGAAAGAAAAGGATCATGCCCTGCAGAGAAAGGGGGCATGTCTAGGCCAAAAGGATAAGATCACGTGCAGTGATGTAAGAGGGGAAAGGCATTAAATTAACTTGCTGTAAGTTAGGGGATTGTTCCACCTGAGCTATACCAGCCATCAACAAAGTCGTGGACCCAGCTAACCCAAAAGAATGGCCCACATGCCCCAGAATAAGGGGCAGCACAGTCCAAATGCCACTCCAATTATAGCTTGTCCAGTGGTGACCACTGTGGAAATTCAGATGTATTTGCTGCACAGCAAGGGGCCGGAAGGTATGCCCACTGCAGTGGCAAGGAGCTATCTAGCCATGGGCAGCGCACCATGCTATGTGGCCAAGTGCCAGTCAGTCCTGCATGACACCAGGAAAAGGATAAATACAGAAGGCCAGTGGACACTAGCTCTTGTACATAAGAGGTTTAGTTTATGTAGATACCTCTGTTGTGCATCTAGGCATCATTGTAAGTGGCATATGCAGGATGGCAAGCAAGCTGTACGTGGCTCTGTGGGAATCTTTCACTCTCGGTGCCAGAGTGTCTCGGTGACACAGCGTGAGTCAAGAGATTTCAGAGATTTGCATGCTGCTTCCTTGGCTGCTGCCTTTGCAGTTCCTCAGGCTTTTGTCATCCTGCTTTGAAAGGACAGCTTTCCTTACACTTGCTAGCAAGTCACACCTAACAATGAGTCACAGTGTTGATGCAATTTATATTTGCATCTCAGAAGGATCTTGCATTCATGGTGCCTGTTTTACATGCTGCTTCCTCACTTACGCCAGGTTGGGCAAAATCTCAAACACCGTATGTAATGTCCCATATGTATGTATGTTCCATGGTCACTCTGCTGTGTGAGCTGTTGCCATGGTAGCTTTCAAGGTAGGAGTTGCTAACCACTAGCGCTTCTACCATTGCTGTCACCAGTGGGGCTGTACCAGTGGTAGAAAAAGTTGGCAATTTTAAGATCATGCAGTGTAGCAAGGCATTGGTGACCAGTAACTGACTAAATTAAGACTCAAAGTATCTGGTGAAACAAGTAACTGGATGCTCCCCCATAGTCTGAAGGAATTTAAAACTCGAGTCTGTAAATGCGTTGCAAATGTTCCTTGGAATTCTTTAGCTGTAATGGTAGTTGTAAAAGGACACTCATGTCATTGTAGCTTTGCCTAGTGTTTCCTGAATTACGTGTGCGTAGCTCTGGAGTGATTTTTTTGTTTGAATGTACTAAATCTTTTCCATGTAAAAAACAGAGATAGGATAAGGTTTTAATGGTATCCATAAAAGAGAGTTAATGGAATAACAAGGAAATATCAGTAGTAAATTAACGTAACTGGGAGGCAGAAGAGGTGAACTTGGAAGGTGATTCAGCAATTCCAAGGAGTTTATGTATTGCTCAGTGTAGCGGAGTGATAACCCCGCTCCTGTCTGGAAGGGCTTAAAACAGCCCTGGCAGAGGGCTGCAGCTCTAAAAGCTGGGCTGATTGGGGAAGTAGCCACAGCTGGCCTGTATAAAAAGGCTGGGAGCCAGAGGCCAAGCAGTCTCTCTCTGCACTCAGAGAGAGAAGGGCCTGGCTGCAGGGAGCAGAGACAGGGTACCTGGGTGGAGCAGGGCTGGGGACAAGCTGGGGAGCTCCAGCCTGGATAGCCCCAGGCTGCGGCCTAGTAGGAGGCCAAGGGGTACTGGGGGTTGCAGAGGGCAGCCCGTGGGTAGGCCAAGGCAGCAGGTCCAAACCCAACCTTGCTTGTGATGAGTGGCCTATACTGCAGTCTGCCCCAGGGAGCGGGGGCTGGTTGGTGACTGGCAGTGGCCTTATTCTGAGGTGAGGTAGGGATAGTGGATGGGGGTTCCCCAGGGAGGGGAGACCCTAGTACTGAGGGGTGTACTGTCAGGGGGCAGCATCCCAGATACCAGGGCACCGGGGTCCGGGAGGGACACAGGGGCCAGAGGACAAGTGGATCACCGGCCTGCAGGGGGTGCTCCAGGATGCTGGAAGAGCTAATTCCCAGAGTCACCAGCAGGAGGCGCTGCAGGGGTGTGTCCGCTCCTCTACACTCAGGATGTTAAATAATTAACTATGTTTCCTTGCGGGATCGTTTTATGACCAATAATATTTGTAGCCATGTAAACTAAGCTAATACTAAAAATAAATGAACCTCAAGCTTCGGGGCATAAACTGATCAGCTGTGAGGGTCAGGAACAAATCCTCTCCCATAGAGAGCAGCATAGGCTCACAGTTAGCCTGTGGGATTAAGCTTTATGAATTCCTGCATCTTAACCCAGCCTCCATGGCTGCAGATGGCAAAGGCAGAGGCGGAATTTGTTAGTGGGACCATGCATGTGTTTCACACCCTGTGTGGTGCACGGCTCAGCTCCACAATGGCTCTGCATGTGAGCATGCAGTGGCTGGTGGTGGGAGCAGGGCTGGAGGATCTGCAGTTGCACAGGTCTCCTCCTTGCCCTGTAGGCAGGAGGGGTGAAGGGGGGGTTGAGGTGGTGACAGTCTCAAGGAGAAGTTTCCTCAGTGGCCTGGGGGAGAGGTTTTCTTCCTCCAGCATCTGCCCAGCTACTCAGGCTGAGTGCTGTGGAATGGATTTGCCCCTGAGTATTTTTGTTTTAGTTTTCCTGTTTGTAAAATGCGGAGGATGATACTCAGTTGCCAGGTTTCAGTTGCCAGGCTGACTGGGGAGTCATGAGGATATGTTACTTACTGATTGTAAAGAGCTTTAAAGGTAAAGTGTGCTCAGTAGTGTTGTTCTGTACAGCATGGCACAATTAGCCAGATGCATGACTTCTGCCACAAGGAGAGGGGTGATATAATACCTGACTAGATGGCACTCCCTGTGTTCCTTGAATAAATGTTTGCCCTAAAATCTAGTAGAGCTGATGACTAAACAGCCCTCTTAAGCTTTGTCTGCCCTGGGATTTTAGGGTGAGGTTTTCAAAAGCACCTAAGTGATTTAGGAGCACAAATTCAGTGACACGACTTTTAATGACACATCTGCTCCTAAGACATGTAGGCACTTTGGAAAATCCCCCCTTAGCACTGGTGCAGCATGTTGCACTTGCCAACCCCTAACAGAGAGATGATTTACACTGGTGAGGCATGATTTGGATTGGAATTGGTTACTCTGATTTCAAATTATGTCTACTTTAGGAGTTTGCATTGGTGCAGCAGCAGCTGTGTTGGTAACTAAAATCCCAGGATTTACTCATGAAGTTGCAAAATCCATGTCCTTATACAAGCGCAAGAGCTAATTGTTTCTTCAGCTGGCCAGTTGAATGCTAATTACTTTGACAGATATTCATGGAACTTGTGTTAAATATGGTGTTGCCTTTTATTCCCGTTTGTCCTCAACTGGGCAGTCATACCAAACATCTGTATTGAACTGGAAAGGTGAGGTGTGAAGAATAGCATAAAGCAAAGACGTAAATAAAGACAAAAGAGCCATTTAACAAAACTCTTCCTGGATATAATATAAAGATTATCGAAAGACTTGGGTGTTAGCATGGTCTGGGATTTAAGAACTTTGCTGAACTGTTTCCCCATACATAAATTCACAGGCCTGGAGAGGTGGGTAGCCAGATTTAGCTAGGAGGGAATTGCTGACACATTTCTGGGAACTATTGTAAGAAGTGCAGAGACTAAGAAAAACAACAAGGAGTCTGGTGGCACCTTAAAGACTAAGGTGCCACCAGACTCCTTGTTGTTTTTGTAGATACAGACTAACACGGCTACCCCCTGATACAGAGACTAAGAAATGAACTTCAAAAGGCAGTTGGCAGTTAAAATAAAGCAGGCCTGGGTGACCAAGGAGACAGGATTTGTCTTTATTTTGCATGTGCTTTTATTTATTTGTGCAGTGCTTTTATTTATTTGGGGTGGGGAGGACAGTAATAGATACTAATAGAAATGTTATTTTTATCTTAAGCATTCCCTAAACTGTCATCTTTCCTTTTATTAGGCAGATATATTCTCTGGAGCTATATTTATCCAAATAGCCATGGGGTTGAATCTTTATTTGGCCATAATCATACTGCTGGGTATTACTGGTCTTTACACGATCACAGGTGAGTTTGTGGAGCAGATTGTTACATTAAAAACAAGTTCAAAGGGGATCCAGAAAGATGAAAATGGAAGCGGGGAGTAAATGGGAAGAAATGAGAGCGTGAAAGGGAGACGTGTATGTGCATATGAGAGAGAGAGAGATGGAAGGCCAAGGAGAGACAATTCCCATGAAGGCATTAGCAGAAAGGCTCTCATAAAGGCATTTCTTTACCTTTAGGTGGCCTTGCTGCTGTGATTTACACAGACACCTTACAGACCGCCATCATGCTGGTGGGATCCTTTATTCTCACAGGATTTGGTGAGTAAATCTGATGAACGAGAGCTGGAAGGATCAGCTACAGCCCCCAGTGTCCTGTGAAAATGGATCCAGCACTGTGGAGTCCTGAGAGGTTAATAGCTAAGGAACTCCCATTGCTTCTTGTATTTGTCAGGGAAGGAGAAGAGCCACATTGCTAAGCCCTCCTGTCATCCTGACCAAGTTCTATAGTTGCCATAGGTATGTAATTCCAATGACAATGGGAGAGGAGATTCATAGATTCCAAGGCAAGAAGGGACCATTGTGATCATCTATTCTGCCCTCCTTTATAACAGCCTATAGAACTCCCCAAAATAGGGGCTGTGTTATTGTGAATGAGAGGCCAGGTGTCCATGAGATCACGTAGGTACTAAAATGCAGTCCATCCTGTGAAATAGAACCCTGGTATTTAGGGCTCAGGCTACATAATTAATCAAGAGGAGGTAGTAAAGCCCTGTGAGGCTGTAATTTCCTCCCCCTTAACTTGTGACTTCTAATTGGACTTCCTCTGTGTAAGCTTTTCACTGAATGAAGCTGTCCCCCTGCTTCACAATAAACAATATTTCAGATTGACTTAATCAGGTGGACGCTGCCTCTGGTCCTTACCTGTGTCAGGGAGCCTGGAGATATTATACCTGACAAAGTGGAAGCTTGGATCCTGGGCATGGGAAGGACAGTGGAATGTAAAGGAATCTTTTAGAGCTCTATAGTGACCTGAGAAGGAAAGCCAGTGTGGCTTCTTGCTAATGAGAGTTTTCACAGCACATTCGTTGATGTTTCTGACAATGTTGATCTCTATTGGGGCAGGTTTATCACATTGATAGCATGGAGTTTTCTCCTTGGACTCTTCAGCTCCATTAGGAATTTCAAGCGTCCAGTACCATGAGCAGTGTCTTTATGTTCTGTTTTTCAGCATTTGCCAAAGTAGGAGGATATGAGGCCTTTATGGAGAAATATATGCAAGCAATTCCAAGCAACACCTCCTATGGAAACATTACCATTGACCCAAAATGCTACACCCCTCGGGCAGATTCTTTCCACATCTTCCGAGACCCGATCACTGGAGATCTGCCATGGCCAGGCCTTACCTTTGGCTTGAGCATCCTCGCTTTGTGGTACTGGTGCACAGATCAGGTAGTGTAAAGGCAACAACTGGGAAATTCAGAGCATTCTAAAATTTGCAGTCTAGTTGGATTGATCTCTCTCCTCCCAACCCTGTGCCATAAAAATAGCTATTATCTCCTGAGAGGAAATTGATTTTTTTTCTCTGTAGCTTTTAGATTCTCAGCCTCTTCTATGTTAAGTGAATAGGATGTGTATGTTCCTTTACTATTTTTTCATGCCATTCTGGACATATGCTGTGTGTGTGATTTTCCCCCCCCCCCCCGTTTCTTGTGACATGCTGGATGAACATTGAGGGTCCAATTTTTAAAAATTGGGCATCTTAATAGGACAGACACATGCATATGACCTTTATCAATCTGGGTATAGACTTGGCTTCCCATCCAGCCATACTAGGCATATCTACTCTGTCTGTGTGGGCTGCTCAGGGGACAAGTGCAGTACTCAAGAAGTGCCAGAAAGCTAGTACTGAAAGTGCCACAAGACAGCATTCCAGCTCCCCCCAAAAGAGCCACAACACCATTCCGGAGTGTTCTGGCAGGACTGGAGCACTGGTGTTGCTTTAATCTCTTGCATAAACAATGCTGGACAGTTGCTCTGTGTATGTGTCTGTCCCCTCATCGGGTGCCATGGTGCAGGACCGTCCATGTGTTTTTCTTTCCTTTCCTACTGCCGAGGTCAGTGGTCCATCCAGTCTCCAAAAATGATCAAATTGGGATGCTTCAGAGGAAGGAGACTGCACTACTGTAATTGTGCAGTATTCTAAACCATGTGTGAGTGTGTGTGTGGGGGGGGGAATTCTTCAAGCATCTATGCTCTGGAGCACAAGGATTGAGGGCCTTTATCATCTGTAACCTAGCTGGTGTAATAGTGTCTGCTCTTCTTATTCATGTAAATGTCTAGTCCTTTTTGACTATTAATAAGCTATTTGGTTCAATAATATCCAGTGACACGGAGGTTCACAAGTTAAAGATACATTAGACCAGGGGTCGACAACCTTTGGCACGCAGCTCACCAGGGTAAGCACCCTGACGGGCCAAGCCGGTTTGTTTACCTGCCGCGTCTGCAGGTTCGGCTGATCACGACTCCCACTGTCCGCGGTTCGCGGCTCCAGGCAAATTGGGGTGGCGGGAAGCAGCACGGGCCGAGTAACGTGCTGGCCGCCGCTTGCCGCCGCCCCCGCCCCCATTGGCCTGGAGCCGCGGACAGTGGGAGCCGCGATCAGCCGAACCTGTGGACACGGCAAGTAAACAAACCGGCCTGGCCCGCCAGGGTGCTTACCCTGGCGAGCTGCATGCCAAAGGTTGCTGACCCCTGCATTAGACAATAGAGTATCTACTTTTAGCCATTTAAATGTGTTCTCGGGCCTTCAAATGCCCTTGTATTTTTCTAATTATGAGCAAGAGCAAAGACTTCTCGCTGGAATAGTTGAAACAGAATCATTTGTGCCTTGGTGTGCCCGACATCATGTGTGGGTGACAAAGCTGGAGTCATTCACATCTACTGTCTCATTGACAGGTTATTGTTCAGCGATGCCTCTCAGCCAAGAACATGTCCCATGTGAAGGCCGGCTGTGTCATGTGTGGGTACCTGAAGCTGCTGCCCATGTTTTTGATGGTGATGCCTGGGATGATCAGTCGAATTCTGTACACAGGTAAGACCTAGTACTGTAGCCCCCTCATTCTCTTCTCATTCCTCTTCCAGTTTTCTCTTTGCTGTCCCCCCTCCAGCTCCTTCAGTCCCTCTCCTGACTCAGACCATGAAAATACGTACACAGACCAGCCTTTCCCACAAAGTAAGAAGACCCGGCTCTTTTTCCTCCCCCTGCTTAGGGCTCCTGGTGATGCTATCACTGTCCTTGTGGGGACAGGAATCCTAGAGGGTGTGTCCTCTTTGTTGGAATTTGTTACAGCATTCCTGCTCTGACTGAGAGGGTGGGAAACACTCCTGTCTGTGACTGACAGACTTCACAGGGCAGAGGGAGGGGTGCCTGGATCCCAGAGAGGAGTGTTCCCAGCTCATGGAAATGCCTGTGATTTGCAAGCTGCCTGAGCTCAGTGTGAGCACAATACCAGTTGGTTTTTTCCCTCTCCACTGAGCTGTGTGTACAACAACGGAGGAGAGCAGGTGGTCTGAGCAGGGAGGGCTTTTCAGAGCACACACTAACTTTGCCCTGGCCCCTGAGCCCCGATTTTGTTGTCCTCACGTTATTCAGTCCCGACTTCCTGTGCAGTTCTGCGGATGCAGTTTTGGTGGCTTGACCTCAGCACCATCGCTATTCCCCGTCTAGGAAAGAAGTGATGCAGGAATGGAATTCCTTCCCACAGCTGCAGAGACAAAGGGGATAGGCAAATAAATCCAGTGGTTTAGCATGGAGATGGGTTTGGGAAGTACTCTTGATTTTTGGGTAACTTGCTGCTATGACCCCATGTAACCCTGTCTTGTTATCTTTTTCTTAGATACGGTGGCTTGTGTTGTGCCCTCAGAATGTGAGAAATACTGTGGCACCAAAGTTGGCTGTTCAAACGTTGCTTATCCAAAAATGGTGGTGGACCTTATGCCGAATGGTAAGATGCTGGTTGTGATAGTGTTTTTGTGGGAAAGACATGGATGGCAGATTAATAGAAGTTGGGTGTTGTGGGGGAGAGATTCCCAGAGCTGGAATTCAGCTACCAGAACTAGGAGACCTGCATTCTCATTTAGTCGATTTGACATCACTAGTTTCTTGAGTTATCAGGGCTCAGCTATCATAGGCCCTAGATCATTCCAATATACAGTTTATTCCTATACATGCCAAGCATTCTGATCAATGTGACCATAGATGCCAGATGGTTACAGACTAGCCATGACAATGTTACTTATTTGCAAACATGAGGCAGTAAGACACTGCTGGCATTAGCCCAGTGTGAGAAATAAATCTGGCCTACAGTTGTCAGTTATTAAGAGGTGGCCTCTGCCAGGATCTCTGTGTTGAGTGATATGCTTGCAGTTCCTCCGCTAAACTCACTGGTCTGGAAAGAGAAAGTGCAGCCCCCCTGGGGCTATTGCTCTCCCACAGACCCAATAAAGCAGTATAAATAGGGTGACCAGATGTCCCCATTTTATAGGGAGAGTCCCGATTTTTGGGTCTTTTTCTTATATAGGCTCCTATTACCCCCCACCCCCTATCCCAATTTTTCACACTTGCAGTCTGGTCACCCTAAGTATAAATAACAAGTGTGTGTTTGTGTGGGGGTGTCTCTGACCCCTCCCATTGTACACAAAGGACTCCTTTCTGAGTAAATACACTCAGCCATTATCCATCTCCTAACAGCCCAGCCTGGGTATTATGTGGTATTGTAAATGTTGTGCTTCCTGACCTAAAAGGCACCATTACCTTCCATCTGCAGTAGGGTACCATGAAGTTGTCATAAGCTGGGCATGCTTCATTTACTAACAGCTGGGTTGGAGGAGGTCAGACCATGCACTCAGAGATGTCACTTATGGGAGCTTTCCCAGTGACTGAGCCTCCCCAGCTCAGGTGGTGTCTCTCTCTGTGTTTCAGGTTTGCGAGGTCTGATGTTGTCAGTCATGTTGGCCTCTCTCATGAGCTCCCTGACTTCCATTTTTAATAGTGCTAGCACTCTGTTCACCATGGACATCTACACCAAAATACGATCCCGGGCAACTGAGAAAGAGCTCATGCTGGCTGGAAGGTAAGTGATACTGCGCCCCTTCCCAGCATTAGGAACCTAATGAAATATTGGAGCCATCACAGACTGCACCCTTCCAAGTTCATCTTTAAGTGCCTTGATGAACAACCTTTCACTGAATGCATATGATGCAGCGGTGACCTCTTGTGGCTTGACTGCTTAATCTCATGTGTCTTTCTCGATATTCTGGGGGGTAGTTTCCAGCCATGTTTCTTATTTAAAGATTAATCTGAGGTGTCTATTCCCTACAGATATCCCAGGGGATCTATTTAAATTTCATTCCAAGATGACAGTTAGATAAAGCTACAGCATCAGTAATATTCACTAGCTATGCTGTAGATTTCTCTTTTATTCATCTCTCTCTCCTGTTTTATTGATTGCTGTATTTATAGGTGACTTCTTATTATAGGTGATTTATTATTTTGATAGCAGAGTTCTCATTTTGGGTTGACTAAGAGCTAAGGGATCTGGTGAGATCTCATTGCTGGTTGCTTCCCCCCCCACACCCTCCCCCCCCAGTACTGATGGCTGATTACTGTTGTTTTTGCTGATGTTATAATGCTGGTTGAATAACACAATGACTTGTTAAATTGTTGATTGGTTCATTGTGATTTCTGTATTTCTGATTGATGTTTATAAATAGGTGGCTAACAGATTTTTTTTTATTGGCTGTATTTGCAGGTTATTTATTTTAGCTTTAATTGGTATCAGCATTGCTTGGG